GGCTGAATTCAGAGCTCCCTTGGATGTTGGGCCTGGTGGTGCACACCTGCAATCCCAGCACACCAGAGGCTGAGGCAGGAGGATCGCCATGAGTCCAAGATGACCTAGGGTACACAGTGAATTGAAGGCCAGCTTGAGCTACACAGAGAGATCCTGTATAAACAGACAAGCAAACAAAAAACCTGAAAGCAACCAACGAAACAAACAGACAAAATAACCAGAGCCCATCTTTGGGAGTTATGAGACCTAGCGGCACAGAGCCCTCGAAGACAGCGTGAATGGGGTGGGAACAGAGAACGTGGGAAGTGGCCGTTAAGACTTGGGCAACTTCAACTACTGTGCGCCCAACAGAACGTGTGAAGGTGCGTTCCTAGGGGCTCCCTCGGCACCGTTGCCAGTCAGACCCCTCCATGTGGTTCTCCCAGGATTATTCCAGTCTCAACTGCCTTCCAGAAGGTGCTCACACTGATTTCCCATGAGTCCCTGTTTACAAGGAAGGATAAGCTTTTGGGACACCCTGGTTCTTCAGTTAAGCTATGAATGGCTGCTCCGTGCACCAGAACCACGAGTTGGAAGGGAGCTTCAGTGTGATCTCCCAATAGGTCACTACAAGTCTGAGCTGCATAGTGAGACCCTATACCAAATAAATAAATAAAAGATTAAAAAAAAAAAGTCACCAAATGGGGTCCTTTTGTACACAAAACCTAAAGTCCAGGAGAAAACAAATGACATTTCAAATTGCACAGCAGCTCTCAGTGGAAGTGGGAAGGGAGCTCGGTCTTGGGGAACCCCCTTCCAACCCCCTTCCTGTGAGCCTGTGTGTCCTGTCTCCATATTTCAATGGTCAAGCAAGTAAGAATCCAGGAGAGGGGCCTGGGAGATGGCTCAGCGGAATAAGCACTTCCCTGGCAAGCGCAAGGGCCTGAGTTCAATCCCCGGTTCCACCAAAAAAAAAGAGTCCAGGAGAAGCAAGGAGGACCCAGACTGGAGATGGATAGGGCGCAAGGAGGTGGAGTGGACAGTGGCCCAGCACCCTGCACACCAGCACCCTGCCGGGCAGGGGCTGTCCTCATTGATTCTCCCAACCCCACGACACAGCACCTGTGAGCCCCATGCTGCAGCTGGGAACCCTGAGTCTGCTGAAGTGTCTCAAGGAGCCGGTCAGGGATTCGAATCCAGGTCTCTCTGATCCCAGAGCCATGAGTTCCTCAGGAGTGTGCTGGATTGCAAAGGAAAGCAGGCATCTTTCTCAGGAGCCCCCCAGGAGGAGCAGGAATCGCTCTCCCAAGCCCAAATCAGCAGGGCCAAGACTGACAAGGACGAACGCAAAGTCCTGCCCTGCGTTTCCAGAGGTCACTCAGGTGAGTGCAGAGTGGAAGCCCGGGGGTTGGACGCGTCAGGATAAGTACTGTCACAGGTCACTATGCTGCTGCTGCTGCTGCTGCCGCTGCCACCACCACCTCCGTTTCCATAGGATTATAGTTTGTGATGCTCCTTCACAGGCCCATGGTAGGGCTCCGACTGAAAGGGTGGCGTGTCTGTGAGCAGTGCCGTGGCTGCTGGTGAGCTGTTTATCTCAGTGGCCCCGTGGAATAGCAA